ATCGCTACTAATAATCTTGTTCTTAAGAATGCTAATGCAACACTGAAAATAATCATATACAAAGCTATAGTTAAGAAACTTGCACACAATACATTTGACTATAGTCTTAATTGTACAGTGCATTAAWAAAGCTATTTCCTTACACTAAGAAATGCTACTGCCAATGGATAAACCTATCCTCAACAGGGCAAGGGTTACGTATACTGTGATCATTTGCATACCAACTACCTCAGACAAATTTCATAACATCCAAATATTGATAGACTTCCATCAATCAAAATGTTCAAACAAACTGGCAGCTGGTGCCAAGACTCTTTTAATTAATTGATTGACAGCTGTCTCTCTGAAGCTAATATTATTGCACATTGGGAATTTTGTCTGGGCTAGTCCAAATCAATGCAAATGGCACTTAGCAGTTGATTACATGTACGTACCTTGATGGCTATTTGAAATGGTAATTCCTCTTCTACTGTTTCGAACATTGATGGCGAACAATCAATAACGATAATCAAGTTATCCTTGTTGTCAGCATATGCCTACAATATAATATTATAAAAATAATGAAAAGTGCTATTTAACAAATAGATCTCATTTTCCCATGCGTGTGTACTCTAATAGATACACAGATGATGTCAAAATGTAGTGAGAACAAAAAAGTACGCACGAGATGCAGTCGAGTGCATGACTGTTGTTCTCACTACATTTTGACGTCATCTGTGTATCTATTAGAGTACACACGCACGGAAAAATGAGATCTATGTGTTTTGACGTAATCCGTGTATCTATACTTTGATAACACACGAAAGCCAACCAATCCAAACGTCTGATTTTACTGAAAAGTTGTATAAATAGGTATATTGAATTATAAAAAAAAATAATATCATGCTATGACATTGGAGTGCATGCACAATATGAAAAACTGTTGCACGCTGTTGTGAAGATATGGGGAATTGACCAGTGGCTATTGTCCAATCAAAAACGACTATACTTTTGCACAAAATTGCACTTATCTAAACAATAGAAGGCATAGTGCTATATACTACATTTGCACAATTTGATTTCGAGCAAATGTTGTTTAAAATAGGAACTTCCTAGGAAGATCGCGCTAAATTTGAAGAAAACAAATATCGTAGTAATTAACAAAAACATACTTGCTGTCCTGTGTCACCACTTTCTTCCTCGTCTTGATCGCCAAAGAGACCAAAAAGGCTGGGCCAAGCTTCACTCATCGTGAAAGTCTATGAAGAAAGGTCAAGAAATGCACACCAAAAGTACGCATATTTTATAATGAATTTGTAGCTTCAAAAAACCGATTTTTTGTAAAAAATACTCTTTAGAATGACGTAAATACATGCAAAATACTTACTTGAGAAAATGATTACTTTAAATACGAGAAATCGTGGAGAAAAACAATGAACTTCTACAAACTTGCCCTATGAAATGCAAAGCGAAGCAAGTTATTTTCTTCCCGCGTTTAGTACCAGTCCCCGCGCGACGATTGTTAGCACTTGATGGTCGGGCTTCCTGTGTGTTTCTTTTCTAAGAATTTGTTTATTTTCGTTTGTTCATTTATTCTTTTTTCCCTCGATTTGGACTTTTATGACACTTTGAATCAATTAAAGAATTTTAAATCAATATTTATTATGAACACCACTATATTTTAACTGCATTCTTTATAAAATATATTGTATTTTTTTATTGATTTTATATGAGCTAAGGCAAGTGTCAGTAAAGAAAAAAAAGGGAAAACATATTTCTTGTTGAAAAGATAACGTTAACGCTCTTATTAGCGACTAAATGGTATGCGATGTTATTGCCGGAAGTAAATGTGTTGAGTAGAGAACTGTTTTATTTCCTGCGGAAGTGATATTTCTTTGACGAATTTCCGGTTTTTTAACTCGAGGCTTCGAGAAATGGCGGGCGGTTTGGAGGTGTGTTCATGATTTCCGAAGAAAACCACTTTCCTGCTTGATATAACCGAATCGAAGTCTCCAAAATWACACAGAAATAGTTATAAACACCTAGAGCCTTTATCAGAAGAATTTTAGTTCAGGGTTTTCGAAGGATAACGAAATCGTGACATTCATCACAAAACGGCGCCCGCCATATTGAAATTGCATCATCCTACCTTGATTTAGAATCTGACTCAGCACGTAAAGTAGGGGGACTGGTGGACGTATAAAAGACACAACCAACTTTTTGTTGGTAGTATTACCAACACAACACAACARGATAAATATTATACAGCATGGATTGCGTTGGAAAGTCACATAATCTGGTTCTAACGACTACGAGATCAACTCAAGAATTTCATTCATTACACGCTTCAAGAAAAATATATTGGACTGTTAGTTATATTCCRAAAATATATTCTAAAATCGTACACAAAGAGGAACAAGCCATTAGCTGACATTTTTRAAAGATTTTAGGTGTTTTYATAAAGCTATCATGTTKGGAAACATGTTGGAAGGACTGCTTCGGCTTATGCTTCGTGTGTGGACKATTGGATTGTTCTACTTTCTTAATAACCGATTCTTATCATGGCTTAAAGGTTAGTCTTTGAAAWGTCACTTATGAAATGTGAGTTAGAMGTTGCACGAGAAACTSTGACTCAGCTTWTTTGATGTATCATTGAATTCTATTAACTGGATTAAGTTATGTAATTGGCCTAGTTTGTAGACCATTGTAGGTAGCTCTAACATTGCATGTCAACTTTTCGTGCGACTTGTTACAACCGAACTACTTCATCCTGAACTTACTTATCTCTAAAATCATTTTGCTATAACTTTCTAAAGTTCTTAATCTAACTCCAAAATTGTGCTACATGTATGCATGTGTTATGTCATCATTATTTAAGTATCTTTTAATCATATAATTATCTATGAAATATCTATATTTCTCAAAATTGTGCTACATGTATGCATGTGTCTTATGTCGTCATTATTTAAGTATCTTTTAATCATATAATTATCTATGAAATATCTATATTTCTCTCTTTCCAAAAGTGGTTATTTTCATTAGTGAAAACAACACATTCGAGGTATCTATGTATTGGAAGTAAAAAAAGGAATTATACAACATAATTTGCTTTCATGTATAATTATATGATAAGCAGAATATTGCATGGTCGCTTGGAGATGAGATTTTTATCTTATGGAATTAAAAATCTCTTGTTTGCTGTGACTACTTGTGAGAGATCTTTTTAACACTCAAAGATAAAGTCTGTATCTCCGTGTGCCCATGTAATATCCTCTATATCTCATTGGGAATGAATTCATTTTGATTGCTCTGTATTGAATTCTCCTCAATATAGTATAGCTCACAAAATACAATGGTTCATTCTTAGTTTGGTTGTAAAAGGTCAATTTCTAATAAGTTTTTGTTCACAAAACTTGGCAGTCATGAAGATCAAGATAAACTTTTGAAGGGAATTTTGAAAGGAAATTAGATTGCTGTGACCTATTTTTCATTCATTCAAAACATGTTTTGCCGCAAAATTTCTTGTATTGACATAGACAGCATTTTGACGTTCAACACGTTTGTCATGTCACATCAGCTGGTCAAGTACAAAACTAAAATAATAAAATTTCATTGTTGTTTTGTTTTCTTAGCTAAAAGCTGAGCTTTGCATCTTAACCCACATGACAAACAAAACAATTTCTCCTTTCACTTTTTAGTTTTGAAATCATAATGATTGAGAAAATAGCTCAATAGCAATGTCAAAACATTGAAAACAAAGTCCAGGCAATAGTTATGCAGCGAAATAAGGCTCAGAATAAAACTTCTAAGGCTTGACTTGACTCTAATGYCTGTGCCCATTCCAATCAKTCTYGMYGAAAGACAAGAAATAACATATCCTTGTAAGGATTTCATGTGTGACCTCTTTGTAGTTTCTTAACTTAAACTTCCTTGTCTATTTATAGGGTTTCCAAAAACCTTTTTTCTTGTTTCCTGGTTCTCCAAATCTTCAAAGTWATGTTTATGGAACAGCCGAAGAGAAAAAAAATCAAAGACAGAAACTTTTTTAGAAAATTGATTGACTGACACATCGTATTGTCTGAGTTCTGCTAACAGCAGGACAGACAGAGCTTAAAACAAAAAAAAAAAATCATTTATATTTAAGGTGGAAGACTTTTGTAGACTTCAATTACTACACATTACATCCTGTGAAGTAGTTCATTGGCAAATTTGTGCAAAATAAGTACAAAATCTTTTGTCTTGAGTTGATTGATTAGTGACATTTTGTGTGAATGTAGTTTTTTGAATTATTGTTCTACATGTATGCTAATCATATATTTTCCCTTTTTTTGCAGAGTCAAGAACTCCAAAAATACCCTATCAAAAGTTTATGACATCAATTGAAGAAGAGACATTTGCCAAACCACACAATAAGAAAAATTCTGAACTTAAATCAACTTCTTGGAAAAATTTGATATTTATTAATATGTTAAATTCTAAGAACTKYGGTCTTCACTACGGCCAAAGGASARCKTTGTTTTTGCCGGACAGAAACAAGCAGTCATATTGTGACAAAGACRCAATTGAAGACAACTATAGCAAGTCAAACCTRKTAATTTCTTGGGATCTTCCTTGTGCTCAAAGCTCAAAAGATTTTGGAAAGGRTATGCAAGAGTTTTATGATACAAGKTTTTCCAAGAATTCRGTTCCTCWTCMGTGCTTTAGCAGAAACTTTTTAGAACCCRTAATTTATGAGGAYAGCCTCTTTGAAAATTTTATGGAGAAAGAAAGAGAAAARCAAGAGAAAATGAGATTCACAATGGAACAGGAAAGGTTTATCWCAAGAAAGATGGACTCAGCAATWTATGAAGGRTATTTTAGTGGACTAAATRAAACAAAGAATCTACTTCAAATGGATAATTTTMGCAAAAMGTCGTTTCCTTCTAAGGAMATACACWGTAGTTTAGACAATATTATTTGCAATGGTGACTTGTGTATGGAGAAARAAAGAAAAACSGCATCAGAAAATACAGGAATTKGYTTCTGGCCAGAAGACATTTGCTCTAGCTTTGAGAACGACATGTGTGAGAGCTATGTTGGTCACAGTTTGGAACCMAAAGAGGTTGAAAAACATAACAACATGGACAGTTTAGCTCAAGCAGAAAGTTTGTATCCAAARGAACCTCATTGTAGCAGTGCTGCAAGCATAGACTCTGGTTTTCAATCATTYTGCAGCRTTAACATGACTTACACTTGCTTGGAYATTTGTGGTGTWACCCTCTTCATCTCTAACATCTCTCACAACAAGGAAGGACAAATAATCGCTATGAATGTTGGTTTTAGTGCTGCAGAAGACTCTTCTGAAGAATCYATCTTCTCAGAKGACGACGAAAGTGACAGTGAAAGTGAAAATATTTGCGACGAGGAAGAYGACTTYAAATATTGCTGTGATAGTGATGACGATTTTATTGTCTTTGACACTAAACAAATYCCAATGTCTGAACAGTTYTGCCGTAGTGATTTAGAAGAAATTACTGTTGAAGTGAACTTGAACACTCCTTGTCAAACATTTGATTTTAAAATCTCTCAAACTTTATCTCCCAATGCGAATTACTTTTGCCATGTCAATGTAGATGAGCGTGAAAGAAAAACTAGTGCTAAAATAGATAAGGAGTTTGACTTTAAAACTGATTTTCAAATTGGGGAAACAGGAACTCAGAATGTTGATGAATGTGATGGTGCTGGCACTGTGACGACAAGAAAAGTACAGTTTAGTGATGATGTTGAAGTTCATAAGTTCGTTACATGGGAATATGCTTATCGCAAAGCAAGACTTGGGCCATGGAAAGAYTTAGCTGCAGATAGACTTCACTTCAAAAGAAGGATTGAAGAAGTAAGAAAAGTTGTAGAACCTGTTTTGAAGAACAAAATTGCAATGATAGCWTAGCGATAAACAATTTTAGTGCGTTTTCTTTGCCAAAAGACCTCATATAGACACTTAGCTTCTGAAGGCTGTTGCTTTATCGTTTTGCAGTGAAAACATTCTAGCCATGGAACTTTGACGTTTTTTATTTCATCTTTCGGAAGCAAAATGATTGGATTTGTGATTATTATGTTAAAAAGATACTTTATTGAAACTCAGTCCGGATTTTCAGGGTTTTTGAAACAATAAGAAGTGAAGAAAATTTAAAATAYAAAGTTGAAGGTCGCGGTTTGAGCGTTTTCACTGTAAAATCACATTCAATCAAAGCAGAGGGATTTCATAAGTGGACGGGACAAATAAATATTCAAATAAACACAGCTGCATACGCAGTTTATCCATTTATGAATTCCCTCCCGCTTCAATATAATTATTAGACTTTCTTCAATCATATTTAGAGAGGTCTGCGAGTTTATTAGATTGCTTTGCTGTTTTAGTTCCGGCGTGCGTCTCCAGAAAGTGCTTGCGTTCTTAATCGTTTATATTGACAACAATTTTTGAAGATTGAATTGTAGTTYTGAAAATTTTAAAATATAATTTGCAGTAATTTTCTCTCGGTCATGCAAAGAGGACTGAGACAGCAAGAATATTRACCTGGCGCTACAATAAGAAAGCTTTGAACAACCTCGCTCTTATTATATGCTTTTTTTTCACTTTCTATAAACACAGAAATCGAACGCTTTTAGTAAAGAAACGCTTACCTTAGTTTGTGATTATGAAAATGAAAATATTTTTTTAAAATTATCGAATAAACCAGGTAGTATATTTACATGGGGGGTTTTCTGATTCTAAAACTATAACTATATTCCAATGAAGCAAACTGCAATAAAAATATTCCAAATCAAAAAATATTTAGTAACTTATACTGTCTGTTTGTTGTAGAGTGCATAGTCCTTATTTATTGCAGACCCGTAGGCTGTTTTTTTCATAATACGGACCTAAATTAAATGTTTAACTAAATTAGTTCAATGCACAGCATAGCGTGTAAGAACTGGCTGCTGGTATGAGCAGTTCATAGCAATTATATTTACTATCTCGAAAATAGTTCATAACAAACTAAGAAGTTTAAAAAGAACAATGAAAAAAGAGAAACACCGGACCTTTTAAATTTGCCCCAGTCTACGGGCCTGTATGGCGGGCGATTTAACACTGTTTTAACGACATAAATCCACGGGAATTAAAGTCTGAACTTTTCATTTGGCGGGCTTTTTACATTGTTGAAATGTTTCTGATTGGGGTCTCGTTGTTACAATTGAATGTTGTATGTATGAACCCGTGAAAAAAGTGTCACACAAAAATGCGTCTATCGTAGAAGAAGAAGAGGGCGTGTCTARAKGGGGATCAAAGGGTTCCAGTGAYCASCGTACGAAGCCTGTTTGAGAGCCAATTTTTAATTAAGGGAATAATGGCCTCTGAAGTTTAACGTCATGTATTTGTACCGCATACGCAATGCATTGTATAATATGTTTGAGACAAAACATTTTCAGAAGTCCATTCTCTCATTTCTCACTTGATTTTGTTAACTCTGGACTATACTACGGGCTATCACGTAAGTCAATTGAATCCCCAGTCTCGCAACCTCCTGAAGTGTCACGCATTATAACCGGGTCGTATGCGACCATCTACCGTAAGCGACCACCTTTTAAATTTCCCGTTAAAATTGTTTCCCATATAAACTCTGTCAAAAAAAAACTCTCTCGTAAACGACCATCTTTCGTAAGCGACCACTTTTTCCAGATCCCGAGGTAGTCGCTTAAGAGAGAGTTGACTGTATTGTTGGCATGCATAAACAGTTTTTTTTTAGAAGATTCAAAATTCGTATCAATGGTCTACATACACAAGTCGGTCACATTTATAAAGCACTGCAGCATCGCGTTTGCTTGCAAGTCAAATCTACTGACCCGAAGCGTGCACGACCATGCGCACGAACTCCAGTTTGCTGCCTATTTGGCTTATAATATATGCTTTTTTTTCACTTTCTATAAACACAGAAATCGAACGCTTTTAGTAAAGAAACGCTTACCTTAGTTTGTGATTATGAAAATGAAAATATTTTTTTAAAATTATCGAATAAACCAGGTAGTATATTTACATGGGGGGTTTTCTGATTCTAAAACTATAACTATATTCCAATGAAGCAAACTGCAATAAAAATATTCCAAATCAAAAAATATTTAGTAACTTATACTGTCTGTTTGTTGTAGAGTGCATAGTCCTTATTTATTGCAGACCCGTAGGCTGTTTTTTTCATAATACGGACCTAAATTAAATGTTTAACTAAATTAGTTCAATGCACAGCATAGCGTGTAAGAACTGGCTGCTGGTATGAGCAGTTCATAGCAATTATATTTACTATCTCGAAAATAGTTCATAACAAACTAAGAAGTTTAAAAAGAACAATGAAAAAAGAGAAACACCGGACCTTTTAAGCTTGCCCCATGTCTACGGGCCTGTATGGCGGGCGATTTAACACTGTTTTAACGGCATAAATCCACGGGAATTTTTAAAAGTCTGATCTTTTGGCGGGCTTTTTACATTGTTGAAATGTTTCTGATTGGGGTCTCGTTGTTACAATTGAATGTTGTATGTATGAACCCGTGAAAAAAGTGTCACACAAAAATGCGTCTATCGTAGAAGAAGAAGAGGGCGTGTCTARAKGGGGATCAAAGGGTTCCAGTGAYCASCGTACGAAGCCTGTTTGAGAGCCAATTTTTAATTAAGGGAATAATGGCCTCTGAAGTTTAACGTCATGTATTTGTACCGCATACGCAATGCATTGTATAATATGTTTTAGACTAAACAGTTTCAGAAGTCCATTCTCTCATTTCTCACTTGATTTTGTTAACTCTGGACTGTACTACGGTCTATCACGTAAGTCAATTGAATCCCCAGTTTCGCAACCCCCGGGAGTGCCACGCAATATAACCGGGTATTTAAAAAATCCTGGACATGCCGGGATTTTAACATGTTGAAATGTTAATTCCCCAAGTATTGCCTGGGTGTCGCCAAAGGGCCATTATTTCAATTGACTGATCGGCATAAAGCTGCATAAATGCAATATATGCAATCATCAAATGATATTATCAATTTTGATTTCTCAGTGAACTCTCTTTGAACGACCACTCTCGTATGCGACCATCTACCGTAAGCGACCACCTTTTAAATATCCCGTTAAAATTGTTTCCCTATAAACTCTTTCAGAAAAACCCTCTCGTAAACGACCATCTCTCGTAAGCGACCACTTTTTCCAGATCCCGAGGTGGTCGCTTAAGAGAGAGTTGACTTTATTGTTGGCATGCATAAACAGTTTTTTTTTTGAGAAGATTCAAAATTCGTATCAATGGTCTACATACACAAGTCGGTCACATTTATAAAGCACTGCAGCATCGCGTTTGCTTGCAAGTCAAATCTACTGRCCCGAAGCGTGCACGACCATGCGCACGAACTCCAGTTTGCTGCCTATTTGGCTTATAATATATGCAAGTGCAAGAGTCGTCAAGCACAGCGCAAAACGTGCTGGCTTTTTGGCTGTGACTTGCAGGACTTTCATGGTTCTTTTGCTATTGTAAAGCGGAGAAAACTCATTAAAAGTTGCAAAGGAAATTCAAAGGTATGGACCTAAATCTGTGAGTTTTCACGACTCGATGTGCTAGAGAAATAATGAGACTTCTTGTTTGCTTTTTTTGGATTTTCAAATGTGTTTTTCCGCGGTCAAAGAGTAAATTCTCCTGGCACCTTGTATTATTCGATGTTCTTCTACAACAAATGTCGTATATTTTAGTATTATGTATATTAATTGAGACTTAAAGTTTACTTCATAGTCATAGTGTTCATAGTCATCGGCTARGGGCAATCAACCATGGCATGCAGTGTAAGTGCCAAAATTTACATACACAAATTGCAAATTGAAATTCACTTAGTCAAAGCGTGATGTCCAGCTGGTTTTTTCAAGAGTTCAAAAAAACATCTATTGACCAAAGCACGCATCAGTCTCATGGCCTCAAATTTAGGCTCGGTTTTCAAAAAGAATTTTCGGGACTGGAAGAATGATTTTTAGATCGCATCTATTTGTTGCGGTTTGTTGTTGTTGTTGTTGTTGCTGTTATTTCTTTGTAAGTTTTGCCTGATCTGTTTGCGTCTTTTTGGTTTTCTATTTCTATATTTCTTGTTAATATAATCGTCCTGATATAATTTTTCTCTCGTTTGTCTTTCTATTTATCTTTTCTCTTTCGTTCTTCTCTATTTCTTTCACTAGTTTTCTTTATTCTGCTTGCTTTCTCTTCCTCTCTCCATTGCTATATATACTAGTTTTCACTTGACGTAAGCATAAAAACGCAAAGAAATGCAAAGTCAATTAAGTTTAACAAGATGACATTCATGGCATAAATCCGTAACATAAGCCGAGTTAGGTTTATTGTCGTTGTGATCGTCTCAATCCGCATTTCCATTGTTCTAGTTTTCTAAAGCGATTAGACAACGATGGAAAAACGTGTTTTGGTAATGGGACGAATGGAACGCATTCCGTGCGATTAGAGCGCTAGTCCAGACATTAAATGCGTGAACTCCAAAGTACAATCAAGTCTTTTTCCCGTTCAATGCGAGCGACCACTATCTAGTACACAACAGACTCACTTGCGTAGAGAACAAAAGAAAGCATAAAATAATGTTGACATTACAATAGCTTTAGAAATTTGAATTTTCGCAGATTTTGAGGCTAAGGCTGTATTTCCAGAAAACCTAGAGCTTAAGCCTTCTGGGAATACAGGCCATGTTAGCCTCAAATCAGAGAGAATGCAAATTTAGGGCTATTGTAATGACAACACTTTTTCGTATTTTCTGTTGTTTTTTGTAAGGTCTTTGGGAATGAGACTGTTGTCACCTAAAGCAGCGGTTGCTCGCTTTGATCGGGAAAAAGTCGTATTGCAACTAGCTGGACTTTGTCTTCTATCTTTCTCATTTTCTCTTCGAAATTAGGTCCATCGTTAGTCATACCAGCATATTCCATGTGTTCATTGAACTATTATTCCAATAAAATATTTTATCCAGATTATCAACGCCCTCCATCAAGCAAGTTCAATCATGTCACAATTCTGGCGAAAAGGATCTCGGATGATTACCCATAATACATCAGGTAACCGATCCGCTGCTTGAGTTTTACCATTAACACAGTGTAACAGCGGCGTCTCGCAACGTTTGTTGTTGTTGTTGTTTTTGCAAGTAGAGTTACACGAAAGAAGAACTCAATTCTACTTTCACATGCAACGCACTTGCATATTCCTCTAGCAACTTTCTTCGCAGTTTTGAGGCTGTACCCAGAATAATTCAGGGATCTCGCCAAAGCCTGTTAAGGCCGAATTAGATGGCACAACTTTTGSCTACAACCACTATCGCATGCAACCAKCGTAAGTCATCCTTACGACATGGATACAACTGTCGTAGGAATTTAAAACAATTGCTTAATAGCCCCTGCACGACGACAGTTGTAGTCATGTTGTAAGRATGACTTACGCAGATTGCAATGGTTATAGGCCAAAGTGGTGCCGTCTAATTCGGCCTTTACAATGTGCAAATGAATACACCATAGTTTGTGTATTTCGCAACTTCGTCCAGAGGAATTAGTTACCAGCGAGAAACTTACAAAAAGTTGATGTAATGATGTAATTAACCGTGTTTATTGTTTACCCATGCACAATATCGCTCTCCACAGTGAAGCTGGTAACTAGGTGCATATCTCGACCAATCWCATTCTCGTCAACTCATGACTACATCGTGTGTGGCGCGGGGTCTGCTGGGTGTGTTTTAGCCAATCGTCTTTCAGCAGAATCAGCCAATCAGGTTCTTCTATTGGAAGCAGGTCCTAAGGACAATACCTTCAGAATACAGATGCCATCGGCCATGATGTACAACCTCACTGATGATAAATATAACTGGTTTTACAACACAGAGCCACAGGAATACCTGAATAACAGGTTAGCAAAACCTGTATTTCTGGTTTATTGACTTCAGTTATAACTGAAGAGATTCAATATGAAAGCCCCCTCCAGGTTTGTTTTTACGGCCCTCATATTTGATCTATTGCGTTACAGGTGCATATACTGGCCAAGAGGGCGTGTCTGGGGCGGGTCATCGTCTCTTAATGCCATGATATACGCCAGGGGACACGCCTTTGACTACGATCGCTGGGAGAGTGAAGGAGCAAAAGGCTGGTCTTATGCAGATTGTTTGCCTTATTTTAAGAAGGCACAGACTCATGAATTGGGTAAGTTATCTCGTAAGCTATCCGTACTTTTTAATTTGAGCTGTCGATACARCAAAATATAGTCTTAATAATCTCCATCAATTCTCCTTCACGGTTACCTGCGCCATCTTGAAAGGTAGCCGTGCCTTTACATCGAAGCGAGACAACCGTTGAGCGTGCAATGATAGATACGGCCTGTGAATAATTGTCTCTAGGCGTAAAAGGTTTCTCTCATTGAACGCTCAACGGTCGTCTGGATTCGATGCAAAGCACGGTTACCTTTCAAGATGGCGCAGGGAACCATGAAGAAGACTATTTATATATTTTAGGTCCTGACGAGTACCGGGGAGGGAGTGGCCCTTTACACGTGACACKTGCTACGGCTGACAGCCCTATTTACCAGGCTCTTATAGAGAGCGGTTTTCAGGCAGGATACCCAATCACAGATGATTACAACGGCTATCGACAAGAAGGCTTTTGTCCTACAGACAGAGTTATTCATAAAGGTAAGTGGTGACCTCGTCTCCAAGGTAACTGTGACGGGTCATAATGACGTCATCAGGGTGACGTTTGAAATGCGCCTTTAACCACATTGTTAGATGGTGATGCTCCATGTTCATATGTAATCCCACAATGCTACGCCGTCAAATTATATTGATCATTTTCAAGCATTCCTATGAGATTCAAAAGATAAAGAGAGACGGCCATGTTGGAGGAATGAACAATCAATAGATACTAATGAGAAATCCTTTGTTGAAGTCCTCCAAAGATGGCCGGCCGATGTGACGTATAGTGAAAACAAAGAATTG